AAGTAACATTGTTTTACTTTTCTGCCATTGCAAACCCCATAGTTGGTAACAGCAGTGCTTGCTTTATGTTCCCAACCCTTTGAGCAAGCTGCAAATTTGATACTTGCTCAGTGTTAAATAGTCATATATTCATTTAACAGCTTATCTGAACTTCCCATGATCATGTTGCATAGATGAAACCTGTTCATATGCGGCATATGCTTAAATAGATTTCATTGAATGTATACTCAAAGTGTCACTAACAGAGCACCATTGCTTCAGCTTATTTTTAAAATTCCTTTGAATACTGGTAAAAAGAAGACAAGGTAAGCTTCCCTATGTCAGCCTACATTGTATATACAAAAGTCATACTTAAAAAATCCAAATTCGTTTTTTTTGGTTTGTTTGGCTTGTAAATAAAATAACCTTTATGTTAACCATCCAAATTTGAAACAACAGGTTTATCTCTCTCTACCAGGTGTGTTTACTCACTGCCCAAGTTTGTATTTTTTGCCATCTTGTTATTATTGATATGTCTGCAGGGTACAAAAGCCTACTTAATCATTAAATGTCTTTAACAGTACTTTTGTAACCCATGATAGCAAACATATTATCATTTGCACTTACAGTGCATGTATTTAATAATGATTTTTATCTGCAAATATTGCTATATTACTAAACCTGGATTTAATACAGTCTTGGTTACTTTGCACTGTACAGTTCCATGCATGAATTGCTGGTGCATTGAAGCAATCTGTCATTACTTTTCTCTTGCTCTTCTTGGTGATCTTATTAGATCCAATTTTCATGTTGATGTACCAAACATGATTTATTGATATATCTTCACATCAATGAACAATATTTCAATGTTTCTTACTCAACATGAGTGATACACATTATGAATCTATACGCTAATTACAGGACCATGCAAAGTTTGAAAACATTGGATACATTTCTTTTGCACATAAATTGCTTATAAAAATGAGAATAATACAAGGTTAGTTTCTTTCATTGTAATATCAGTTAAATGTTCTATTTGCATACTTTATTATAGGCGACAAGGGTGGCAAATTTGTTTTGTGTATGTTTTTTAGGACATGTGATCTAGGTAACGGAAAGTTGAATCATAAGTTATGGAACAGGAAAAAAAATCATTTATTTTATCTTGTGCCAAGATATAGAGTAAATGTGGTAGAATAATGAAGTTCAGAGTCTATTTTGTTTGCAGCTGGATTAAACTTAGAAGTTGGTATATGCATGTACTGTAGTCTGATTGCTGTTGACACTGTTTTTACACTTTTGCCTCAAATCCACTAACAATGGTAAAGTTTTGATGTCAAAATGGTTGGTCCAAAAGGTGTGTAGGATCACAAGAAATTTTTGATGTAATAACTTAATTTTTTCAGCATTTCAGTTGACATAAAGTTTTCTTTGTAAGCTGGAATGAGTGGACTTCAGAAGGTGCATACACACATGCCATTCTTTACTTGTGATTTAGTCATTCAGTGCAAACAATACCTAGATTGTGTCAACTGCAAACAGACTCAGGGCAGAAAATTTTAATATTGAAATTGTGTTTCTTCTCTTTCACAATCAATGCTTGTTGTGTTCATTTGAGTTGGTTTATTAATATAATTACAAGTGTATTTTATTATACATGTACAAGATTATCATATAGACCTGTCTTCATAATTGTATTTTCAAGTTGTCAGTATCTACTTTTGAAATGATTCCAATGTTTGTAAACAGCATTGTACATTTGGCATGTACTCTTCTGCCCTAATGACCAGGGGAAAGACTAATGTGGTCATTAATACAGGTCAGAACAGTTGGCTGGAAGCAAACTGAACCTACACAGATGATAAAATTTAAGGGCCAGTTATGACAGTAACTTTATATGTGGGATTTATGATGGTTAGTTTAAATACATAGAATTTATAAAACTTTGGGAAAAAATGCATTTTTACTGGAATTAAATACCTGTTACATGTGTAAGTAAAGTTAACAGAAGGGGGTTTCCTTTTTATAGTTCTTAGCAGGTGTCCCTTAAAAGATGTATACACTTAGTTTTAGGTATTGACACGGGTAATTTTTATCTTGTGGAAGTTGGATATAGCATTTGCCTAAATACAAGATTACCTTGTGCTCTTTAATGTATTGGAATGTTGCCTCAAGTGATGGTTGTAAAAGTTCCAAAAGTCAAATTCATTTCTTGCATATCATATATAGGACATATCTCTTGAATACTTTTAAAAAAAGAATGAGACAAGTAAATGTGTTATTATTGTTATTGTTATTATTATTATTATTATCATCATTATTATTATTATTATTATTATTATTATTATTATTATTATTATTATTATTATTATTATTATTATTATTATTATTATTATTATTATTGTAATCTTAAAGTATCAGATTAAAACCATTATGAAAAATGTTGTTTGATTATACATACCTGTTTCTGTGAATACAATATATTACACACTGGTGTGAACAAGACATAGCAGTCACTTTTCCACTGTAAATGGCATAAACTGTTAATATTTTGGTTAAACCATTGATAGATCCTCATTATTCTTAACTAGAATGATTATGAAGCTAAGACAGTTTGTTCTTGGACCTGCTCATTCATCCTGTTTGCCAGGTATTCAAGGTCACAGTTGTGGCAAATTTGCATTTAGCTTCTGCATTGTGCCTGTATTTCCTAATCTCTTGTTGCAATTTGTTCATATATATTGGTAAGATGAATTTTTATGCAGCATTCTCATTGATCCCTTGAACCTCAATATCAAAGTTAAAATTTTTACAACAATAGGTTTAATATATAGGCCTTGACCTTGTTACTTTTTCCATGTGGTCGATTTAGAATCATTTCTCCGGCAGCTCAACAGTCAGACAATATTATGGTGGGGAAAGGGGAGGAATGTTGTAATGTTTCATTGATTTACTTCCCAAAATGTTTGCACACAGTTGGAAAGATTTAATGGATTATGTCCCTGCTCTTTAAATATTCTGGTAAAAGGTGCTATAATTTTGTCAAATTAATGTGGGAAACTAGATTTCACAGATTGTGGTATTATGGAAGAAAACATGATTATGTACTGTTTGTTAGTCCATTGTTCATGCACTTATTTTATTAAGATTGTATGGAAAATATTGGAAACTATTGAATCAATATAAAACTGAAGCAAAAATATAGATATCTTTAAAGGATTTAGACCTGTTTAGATTCTGGTGACTTTGACCTACATTTTAAGGTCATAGGGCAGAAATTTGTAGAAAATACACCAGAAAATATTTCCAATATTAACCAAACCTGACACAAGATATACAGATGCATTCTGTGTTTCCCCAAGACCTTATTAGGTTCAGGTGACATTGGTCTAGTTTTCAATGTGACAGAGTGAAATTCTATACATTGGGGATCACATTGAGGTACATTAAACCTGGTTATTGCTTTAACAAATATTCCTTCTCATTTTTTCATGTAGTTGATAAAACTACTGAAATGTCTGTTTCCCCCCAGTTGCCTGGCAACAGAGCAATTTTGTAGGTGGATTTATTATGTTTTGTTGACTTTAACTCTTAGTTATAAAATGGCATAGATAAAATGTAAATGGTCAATAAGTTCATAAATTTACTGAACTTAGATACTTTTTAAATGATGCTTTTCTTTTCTAATACATGTTTCTTTAGATCATAAAATCACTTCAAAGGATGGAGCTTTGATCATTATTAACATCTAGAAAGATATTGATAGCTTAAAGAAATATCATTTATGCAGTTTCCATGTTAAGATAATGTATACTTTAAAGTTACACATATTTTGGTAGAATGACTAGATTCTTCAATTAAGTTCTGACATCACTTTATTACAAGTTATCTCCCCTTGTCCGTATCGCTCTGTTAGTGATCTAGTAGCCTTAATTTTATTATCCTCGTATTAGCCAATCAGAAGTCCTTTTTTTATTATGTGAAAGTAATTCATTTGGCATTTGATTTTATAGGTCTTAAGTTGTGAGTTTTGTTTTTTATGCAGGACATTTTGTCAACTCAATAGTCACATGTTTGATACACACCTTTCTCAGCCTGGGTTGGCTGCCGTCTTGTGTCCTTATGACAGGCACTAAGTCCCATTTACTTAACGTGATTTAGCCAATAATGTATTAAAACCAAGGCATAACTAACTTGATTCTCCTAACTTTTTAAGTTTTTTTCTACTTCAAAGAATACATAATTCTAGGGTTAGGATTTGTGAAATAAAACTAGGTATGTAGTCCAAGCATTCTGAACCTTTTCCAGACTTTAAACAGAAATCTGACTCATGCTCCAATCATTTCGTTTCTGTAGAAACGATGGTCAAATTCAAGGTTAACATCAATCAGCCTTCCACTTCCAGCCCTTATTTATTTTGATTTTCTCTACCTGTCACTTTGCGTTTAGAGCAGTTATGTCTATATGGATTAAAGATCATATAACTACCCGTTTGGTGAGTTTAACATCTCAAAGAAACTCTGTGTGACAAATTTCCCACTTCATTGAATGAGATAACATTTTCCTTTTTATCCGCCTATATATTTTTTCTTTGGTTCTCTAACTTTTATCTTCTTTGCCTTCCGAACAGAGTACATAGCAAGCGAATATTTTATTCCCAAAGATACGAGTTGCAGAAGTGTTCCTTTTCTCATATTATGTCAAGCTGTTTGTAATTTCATTTTCATGTCATTTCCTTTCAGCAATAAAACAGGATGAAATCAGAATGCATTTTGTAGAAAAATCATATTAGTAACTGTTAGATTAAGTTAGACTTAGCTTTATGCAAAAGTCATTTCACTTGTCAAGTATAAAAACAGCAAGGACATAAAAATATACTCATTGTTTAATGTTTCTGATAAAGAATTTGTGATTTTCTCTCTCTCTCTCTCTTTCTCTCTCTCTCTCTCTCTCTCTCTCTCTCTCTCTCTCTCTCTCTCTCTCTCTCTCTCTCTCTCTCTCAATATCCTCCCCTCTTTCGCGCTTCGGTTGCCTAGTGGTTAGAGCATTTGCCTCGGATGCAGGAGTTCACGGGTTCGAACCTGAACCGAGTCATACCAAAGACTTATAAAAATGGTACTCACAGCTGCCTCACTAAGTGCTCGGCACTAAAAGGTTACTGTTATGACTCGTCGGTCTTGTATCAGGATAATTTGCTAGAGTTCACTTTAACTGCCACACTGCAGACAGCATAGAGATATGACTATAAAATTGTTACAGCCATGTGAAAAATCTCAATCACACACACACACAACTACACTATTTCTCCCTCCTCTCTCTGTGTCTCTCTCTCTGTGTCTCTCTCTCTGTCTGTCTCTCTCTCTCTCTCTCTCTCTCTCTCTCTCTCTCTCTCTCTCTCTCTCTCTCTCTCTCTCTCTCTCTCATCAATCATATTTTAATGGGTTAGCGATACATTGTAAATTATTCAAAGTACTGTGCCTTGTTTTGATTGTCATTCTTTTGAGATTTTCATAACAGCTAAAGAGAATTTAATTTTACTCTTTTAAATGATAGAGAAAGGTTCTTATTTAGCACATCATTGCAACAAACTTAAAGTTAAGTTGCTTACGAATTATCATACAGTTGTGCAGAGAAAGTGTATTTTTCGAAGAAATTAAATAAGCATCAAAGAAATTATTCAACAATCGAGAAGGGATGTTTGGATTTGATATTGGCATTAAAACATTTTGAAGTTTACATTAGTCCAGCATTTTCTCAGATTATTGTGTTTAATGATCAAAACCCCTTTACTTTCATGACAAGACGAAAAACAAAAGTCAGAGATTATTAAGGTGGTGTTTGTTGTTACATGACTGTATTATTTACATCAGGCACATCAAGGAAAAAGACAAATAGCAGATGCACTTTCCCGTGTATAAAAAGATTATTTCATATACACTTTATATAATTCATACGAGTTCTTTTTATATATATTTTTTACCTCATTATTAATCTGGTAAAATGAAAGCAGTATTCTATAAATGTTTTTCTTTTTGGGTGAAGTGTTTTAAATAAGTAATTTAGTTACTTGTTTTTTAAGTATAAGTTTTTTAATTTTTATTTTATTACATTACACGTTATTGTAATAACTATTTACTGGATTTGATATGTGGGGGTTTTTTTGTTTTTTTTTTTAGAAATTCAGTTTAGTTATGTTTGATCTGATATACAACCAGTAGTTGAAACATTGTATCTTGTTTATGACCTTGGTTCAGAAATCAGATAGAGTTATAGTAAACAAATTTTGAAATATTTTTAAAATTATTCGTTTTTATAGTAAGATTTGTTAAGTTGAAGCAGAACCAAATCTGGAGTACGTGACAAATAACAAGTATTTATTGTTACAAACTTTTGATTTTCCCAGTGGGATGAAATTTTGATCCCTATCCTGAAATAAATTTTACATCTTAAATTAATGTATAACCGTTTTCTTAAGAAGAAATAGCCAGTTGGGTTTTAAACCATTGACACTTAAAGGTGTTTTTTCGTGACTAGTTTGAATTGAATTTTATTTTATGGAATTATTGATTCTTTCCTAGAAAATACTAGTGCTCATACAGAAATACCTGGACAAGGAAATTCATCGAAATTTATTCTGAAATCATCAACTATAATATCATTTTCTGTCATTCAACAAAGAAGGGCAATACTTTGAAGGCCACGGCATATTTCATCCCTTCATTTTGGATTTTATGGGGACTCGAACACAGATTTATGACTTTTCATTGATAGGATGTCTATTCTTTATTTTTTTGGATTAATTTGGATTTAATTCGAAAACCGTAAGTTCTTTTTCTCATGTACGGGAAGAATCTTCATCGTAGAGGTATGTGAATAAATTATCTGTTACATTTTAGAAAACTTGTTGTCTTTTTTATTACTTTTGTGAGTGACAAAATCTTAAAAGAAGGAAAACTATTTTAATGAAGGAAAAAGAATTTTGCAATAAAAAATGTTTAAGATCTACTGGATGCTGTTTGTTTTCAACTTGCCCTACTAAAAAGGATATGTAGTTGAAAGATTAAATATTAAGCTAAAAACTTAAATGTTTCATCCATACCTACTCTTATCGATACGACATGAAAAAATGGTACACATGAAAAACAAGGTGACATTTTATCTATTAAATAATTATAAGATATGCTTCATGGTGATCTTTGTTTCCTCTATTTTATTATAGAATTCAGTAATGTATGTATCACTTTTATTGTATTCACTTTGATATGGTTTACATTACTTCACTAAATTTAACATACATCTTTTACTACTCCACGTTTAGAACGTCTGAAAAATCCATCTTATTATTGATATAATTAAATGTCGAATTGTTTGTCACTATTTAAAGTAACAATGTAAGATTGTCTTTTTGCAGTCGTTGCTGTTAACATAATGGTGTGAAATCAACATTTACTTCGATTAAATTTAAGTTATGCAAAATATTGGAAAGAAATGAAATTTGAACATAATAAGTAAACAAAGAGTGTTACAAAGGTATACATTTAAAACAGGATCATAGGATTCGGCTAATGTAGATATGTGAGAAAGCTAGCCAGTAGCTTCTCGTGGGTCGGTGGTTCTTTCCGGTGATTTCCCGGTTTCTTCCTCCACCATTAATACTGGCCGCCATGAATAGCCTATCGTGTGCTGAAAAATGGCGTTAAGCCCAACAATAACAACAACAACAACAACAACAACAATAAAACAGGATTGAAAAATCATGCCAAACATGAGCTTCAGTAACTTCGCAAAACTTACGATTCTCTTTGAGTTGAACATTGCGGCATACTAAATAAACGTTAAAACTTGTTTCTATAAGTCATAGGTGAAAGTTGTAGAAAGAACCAAATATAGTCCACAAAGTCAGACGATGAAAAAATTGATGCAACTTTACAAAGTTCAAACAAGATATATATATGATTTCATATGTGGTAGTATAGCTGTTTTGCTTGATTTGGTGATAAATTACATTTATTTTTCTAGTTTGTCCTGAGCGTCCACTTGTAAAGTTGTTGGATTAAAAAAAATATTAAAACAATTGATGCTTTGTATGTGTGTCGCAAGCGTTAACACTAGTTCTGTTTAAGTCCAAAATCACCGTGCATACCTAATCTCAGAGATGTTCTAAATTTGTTCATGGTATAATATAACGTAACTTATTGATGCAGACAAATGTCGAGCGAAAATAAGAAACATAATTGACAGTTTACAATGCAGCCCATAAATCTGTTATCACATTTGAGTATTTCATGCTTATGAAGAAATTGTGTGAAATGTAGATAAGTCAGCCATTAAATTAGGACATTTAAGAAATTGCAAAACTAATTATTCCCTTTTCACATACTTTACAATTGACTACCTGGTAGGACAGACTTTTACCAGATAAAAGTTTTAACAATGAACAAGCAAACTTAAAATCAATTTTTTTTATAAACTAAAACTCATGAACTTGTGTAGCTAAATATTTTACCTATCAACAACTACCGGCAGAAACAAACTTTACTAATACAATTTTCCACGAAACATTAAACGCTGCTGTTAGTGTCGCCTATAGCATCCTTTAGAAACTGAAATTTTTGTTTAAAATTAAACATAGGAAAATGGTACCGCTAATTAATCCAGTTCCCAACAACAACAATTTACTACCAAATAAAATTATGAAACAAGGTATTGTACATGGTACAACCTATACTATACATGTACAACCTATACTGTACAAGGTACAATCTATACTGTACATAATACAACCTATACTTTTAGGTCAAGAACTTAGTATTTGCAAATTAGAATGTGTACCGGTAGACCAAACGAAACTTGTATTTCTATTTTGAAAGAAACCAACAGAAAACCTTTAAAAGAAATCCGTACGAAAGCAATGGGCATCTCAGGTAAAATTCTTGAGTACATTCTAAAACATCTATAGCGTCAATAAAATAGTGTCAGACAGCGCGTGCAAGAGGTTCAGGACATGATGTGCAAGGCGGTCACGGCACAATCAGTTACCACTTCAAAGTCTAAAACTGTCTCACACGCACACAAACACACACACACACGTGACTGAAAGACACGGTACACTGCTTTGTTGTCCATCACATCAAACAGACAGTATTATAATTATCAAGCTGCAAAGTTTAGTAACAATAAAAATTTAGTTGAAATATAAAATTTAAAGTTGTGGAGGTAACATGTTGATAGTTTCAGGTGGTATGGAATAATACCAGCTATATTTTGTGTAGCGTAAATAGCTTATGGTGCAGTTGTCCCTTTGGCTTCTAATGATTTAGTTTAACATCAATATAATTTGATGCAAAGTTTTCACGAAAAGGATGGCTTGCAATAAATTGTATAACTGCATGAAATAGTACAACATTAATTATGTGATGATTAGTGAACATGAAATTAACTACACGAGACCTTTGTAATCATCATTGAGTACAAAATACTGAAAGAAAAAAGAAATAATCAGAAAAAAATAATGAGCAAGACATAACTGAACTGAAAACATTTTGAAAAATTGAAAGAAATTTCAAAAGAAAACGATTTTTGAAAGAATAACTACAAAACTTGCAAGTTGACATAAAACTTAACTCTTGGTTGATTAAATATTTTAGATACAAATGTAAAGTTGTATCACAATCGATTTTTCCAAGAAAGGCATTACCAATGGACTACCTAACAAGTGTGCCTGTCGCAGCAGAACTGATATGCTATCCGCAAATTTGTAAATAATAGATTTTGTTGCTGGGTACATAAAGGACAAGAATTAAAGAATGACATTTTTATATTTTATAGATTTACATTTAAATAGACAGAAGAGTTGACGAGTTATTAATTGTGACAGCAAAGAAAAGATAGATGTTGAAGGGTTTCAAAAGACTTAAAAGGTAAAATCACTACGAATAATAACTATGTGGTGTAAATCACCAACTAAAATGACACATTTGCTTGAATTTAATATACAGGGGACCTACCAGATCTGAAAATATGTATGTATGTATGTATGTATGTATGTATGTATGTATGTATGTATGTATGTATGTATGTATGTATGTATGTAT